TCTTCTTCCATCTACCTTTCTTGTACTGAGGAGTGATCCCAGGGCCTTCACACTGAGATATAACACCTGCCTTTTATCATCATCACCATCATCACCATTTTCCTCACCATTATCATATTAGTACACGTTTTTCTCACATAATGAATACATTCACTGTGGGTAGTTGGTACACCTACATGACACATCTTAATTCTTTTTACGTACTTTTACCCTCCCCTCCTTTTGCCCACCTCCATCTCATAGTCCTCTTCCCATTTACCAAAGATTTGTCTTCTTATTTTGAAGCAATGTCTTGCTAAATTGCTCAGTGACCCCAGGCTGTGCTAAAATATGGAATTCTCCTGCCTCAGCCTGCTAGAGTGCTGAAATTACAGGTGTGGGTCAGTACACCCAGCCTCGACTGCATGTTTTTAGAGCTCTAGATTCACAGCAAATTTGACAGAAGATACAGAGATTTCCCATGTACTTTTTCTACCCATGCACTCACAGACTCTGACACCAACAGCCCCACTAAGCTCTACAAGTGTTACAACTGATGAATCTTCATTGACACATCCTTTTCACCCAAAACCTATAGTTGATATTAGGATTTACTCCTGAAAGTGTACATTCCGGAGTCTGACAAATGTGCAATGATGTATCCACAATTATAGTGTCATTGATAGTCCTTTCATAGCCCTAAAAGTCTTTTGTGCTCTGGAAATTCATTCCTCCTCCTGCCTGATCTCTGGCAAACCCTCAAGTGTTACTGGCTCCATAGTTTTTAAATTTGTGGGATATCCTTCAGAATGTCTTCCAGAATGACACACACTTGGAGTCACACAGTATGTAAGCCTTTTATAGTTGACTTCTTCCCTGTAGCAATAGGCATGTCTTTTTGTGGCTCGGTAGCTCATTTCTCTGTAGTTCTGGATAATATTCCATTGTGTCAATGTACAACCCATCCATCATTTATTCCTCTACTGAATGGTACCTTAGTGGATTCCAAGCTTTGGCAATGATGAATAAAATTGCTTTGAGAATACATGTTTTTTATAAAAACATTAGGTTTTAATGTGGAAAAATTTTTTCCGTTCTTTGGGTAGGCACCAAGAGGCATTATCGATGGATTTGTGTGACAAGAGTGTGACGTGTAGCTGGATGTGGTTGTACTATTTTGTGTTCCCACAGACAAGGAATGAGGATGTCCCCCATGCTTGGCTGTATTTCATGTTGTCGGTGTTCTGGATTGTTTGGGTTTCTTTCTTTCTTTCTTCCTTACTTTCTTTTCCTTTCATTTAATTTTTGTGGTACTGGGGATTGAACCCAGAGATGTTTTACCATGTGCATATCCAGTCATTTTTGTTGTTGTTTTTCTTCCAGTACGAGGAATCGAACTCACGACCTTGAGCTTGCCAAGCAGGCACTTTGTCTCTGAGCTAAATCCTCAGCCCCCATAGCCAGTCATTTTATTTTTAAATTTTGTGACATTGTTTCCCCTGGTGGCCCTGAAACTTGCAATCTTCCCACCTCTTCCTCCTTGGTAGCTGCAATCACAACCTTGCATTACTATGTTACCATGCCCTGGTCTTACGACTTGTTTTGGAAAAGGTCTCCTGTTCCCAGTAATTCTACAAGGATGTAAATATTATCACTTGTAAGTACATATTCATGTTCAATAGCATACATGTTCACAAATGTTTATTGCAGAATTGTTCATAGCAGCCCCAAATTGTAAACCACACAAAAGTTCATCAACCACAGGATGGGCAAGTGGCTGTGGTAAATCACTGTGTATGAATACATTTCTAAAAGTTACACTTAAGTATGAATAGTAGGCATTATGCTGAGAAAGTCCTAACTGTATAACCGATATGATTCTGTTTATACATAAAATCGTTAAATCACCAAAACTGAACAGTGCACTCAGGAACACATAACAGAAATAAATGCATCAATTACTATCAGAGGCACCGTGAGGAGGAGGAGGAGGAAGGAAAAAAGGAGGAGGAGGAGAAGGAGGAGGAGGAGGAGGAGGAAGGGACAAAGATCAGGAGGAAGCACACTATGCCTAGAACAGCAGCTTCACGAATGCAAGTGATCATCTGTCTTTTCTTGAGCAAGTATTTCTCTGAAGAATGTATTGAGCTTCATGCTTATCTTTTATTCACTTGTGTGTGCCAGATTTTTTATTCTCTATAGTTGAAAACAATTTTTTAAAATGTCACCTAAACTCTGGTCCCTTTTGCTTTAAAGCTGTATGCTTTCTGAATTTAGGCTACTTGAAGTAGGGTACTCCATAACTACAAGTGCTGCAGTTTCCTCAGTTTGGATCCAGTAGGATCTAATTCCCTAAGTCTGGATCTAGTAGGGGTCAGAGGCAGCAGCAGGTCACAGTGTGGGCACGATCGCCCTGCGGTGGACGTGCTAAATGGCATTGAAAACGAACTCACTGGAAACAGGGCTCCATCTTGTGGCTGCTCAAACCCAAGGCATTCAAGTAGAAGTGTCTCATCAGCTCTACAACCTCACTGGGGACGACCCTAGCAGAGATGGATTACTTCACTGGGAACTCCTCCAAGAGGGCATTTCTACATGCACATGAACAAGAAACTTGTGTTTTCTAAATCCAGGAAGTTCCCTTTATTTCAGAGTGTACATTCCAGAGTCTGGACTACATCTCTCTCTACCCTAGGAGCTACCACTACCACTAGGTGAAAGGAAATCTGTGTAAAAGATTTCTATCCTGCTGGGGGAGGTGGTGCATACCCGTAATACCAGCACTTTGAGAGGCTGAAGTAGCAAGATTGGAAATTCCAGCTTAGTCTGGCCAACTGACCCTGTTTCGAAAAAAAAAAAGAAAAAAAAATTGAAAAGGGCTAGAGGATGCAGCTCAGTGTCAAGGTCCTGGGTTCAATATCCAAAACACTAAATAAATAGTAATAATAATTGAAAAGTGATTCTGGGATGCTGATTCCTCCCTCCCACCCCTCTCACAGCTCTACATTCCAGCCGTACTTCCCTCTCAGAATTACCCAGGCTAATGTTTCCAGAAGTACGTTGAATAGGAGTGGTGACAGTGGACATCCTTGTCTTGTTCCTGATTTTAAAGTGAACACTTTCAGTTTTTGTCCATTTAGTATGATGTTGGCTGTTGGTTTTTCATATGTGGCTTTGATCAGATTGAGGTAAAGACCATCTATTCCTATTTTCTGTAAGGTTTTTATCATGAATGAGTGCTGGACTTTGTCAAAAACTTTTCTGCATCTATTGAGATGATCATGTGTTTTTTTCCTCAGGCTCTGTTGATATGGTGTATTACATTGATGGATTTATATATCTTAAACCAGCCCTGCATCTCTTGGATGAATCCCACTTGGTTATGGTGTGTTCTTGATAATTTGCTTAATTCTGTTTGCTAGTATCTTATTGAGTATCTTTGCAACCATGTTCATTAGGGAGGTTGGCCTTTAATTTTCTTTTTTTGGTTGGGTCTTTCTCTAATTTTGGTTTCAGTATATAATTGCATGATTTTGAGTATTTCCTTTTTTTGATAAGGTTGGTTAGGGATTTATCAATTTTATTTATCCTTTCAAAGAACCAGCTCTTTGCTTCAGTAATTCTTTGTCATGTTTTCTTTGTCTCAGTTGCATTTATTTCTGCTCTGATCTTTATAACACATTTGCCTCCAGAAATGTGTTAGGGAGAATTGCTTCCTCTTCAATTTGATTAAAGAGTTTGAGGAATACTGGCATTAAAACTTGTCTGAATGTCTTGTAGAATTCAACTGTGAATCCATCAGGACCTGGGCTTTTCTTTGTAGGTTTTTAATCACATTCTCAATTGCATTAATTGATATTGGATTATTTAGGGTTTTTATATATTCTTGATTCAACTTTGGTAATTCATACATATCTAGGAATCTGTCCATTTCCTCTGTGTTTTCCATCCTGTGGAGTAAAAATTTTCAAAGTAGGTATTGATGATCTTCTGAATATCTTTAGGATCTGTAGTGATTTCCATCTTTTTCATTCCTTATTGCATGATTTTGAGTATTTCCTTTGTTTGATAAGGTTGGTTAGGGATTTATCAATTTTATTTATCCTTTCAAAGAACCAGCTCTTTGCTTCAGTAATTCTTTGTCATGTTTTCTTTGTCTCAGTTGCATTTATTTCTGCTCTGATCTTTATAATCTTTATAATTTCCTGCCTTTTTGGGGCTTGACTTGTTCTTCTTTTTCTAAAAGTTTGAAGTGCAGCATTAGACTATTTATCTGTTCTCATTCTGTTTTCCTGATATGTGAGTTAACTGCTATAAACTGCCCTCTGAGGACTGCTTTCAGAGCATCCCATAGATTCCTGTAAGTTGTATTTGTGTTTTTGTTTGCTTGTAGATGTTGTTTAATTTCTTCTTTAATTTCATCTGGCTCACAGATCTAAATATTAAAACAGAAACACTAAACCTACTGGAAGAGAAAGTAGGTAAAAATCTTGAAGACACAGGGGTAGGCAGGAATTTCATGAACAAAAACCAAACCACATGGCAAATACTTCAAAGGATCAATAATGGATCTTACTGAAAAGTTTTTGCACATCTAAAGAAATCACCATCAGAGTAAAAGCCAACTGTTCCTCAAACAAAGCACTTCTTTCTAGAATATACAAAGAATTAAAAAAATCAGCCCCCCAAATTCACAGATCCAACCCAGAAGTGGGCATCTGAGATGAATACACACTTCCCAGATAAAGAAACATAAATGGCAAATAAATACATGAAAAAATGTTCAACATCATTGATCATTCAAGAAATGCAAATTTAAACAACACTGAGATTCTATCTCACCCCAGAAAGAATGGCTATCATTAAGAACTCAACCAATAACAAATGCTGGTGAGGCTATGGAGAAAAAGGAACACTTCTCCACTGTTGGTGGGAGTGTAGACTGGTGAAATCACTGTGGAAATCAGTCTGGAGATTTCTCAATAAACTAGGATTAGAGGTCTCATTCAGCCCAGCTATCTCCCTTTCGGGTATTTTTCCAGAAGAGCTAAAAACATCATACCACAGTGATATACGTGCACCCATGCTTATAGCAGTGCAATTTGCAATAGCTCAATCATGGAAGCAACCCACCATCAACTGAGGAATGGATAAAAAAGATGTGATGTTTTTATATAATGGAATATTACTCAGCTATAAAGAAAGATAAACCCCAGGTTATTATAGGTAAATGGTCACAACTAGAGACCATACTCATAAGTAAAATAAATCAGACCCACCTGTGTAAGCACAGTATTGTCTCATTGATGTAAGAAGCTGAAAGAGTGAGTAAAATCTAAAAGGTACAATAGATATTGTGAAAGGGAAAAAATGCTTAAAAGGAAAGAACAATTGGGATGAGGTAAAAGAGGAAAGAAAGAAGGGGAAAATATATATATATATATATACACTCAGGATAGCTAAGATAGTTGTACTAGTGATTTCTATTGCTTTATTGAAAGGAGCAATTAATGTTTAATTGTTTGCTCAATCTTACATGCCTATATTTGTTTATCTGAGTAACCAACTTGAAGATATCAATATGTAATACAACAACCATTGTTAATTTTCTATCACTTTGTCTGAAATTCTGTATTACTTGTATTATTTATGTGTTATTTTGTAAATGTATGTATGTTTGTTAATATGTTTTTGTTCTTTTATCTTTAAAAAAAGAATCACCCAGGGAGGTAGATTTTCCAATATGAATTAGGACATCACACCACTAAGGCATCTGACTCGTAAGTCCGGTGAGGAGCTCAGAAATCCGCACTTATTCACAGGTTGAAATTGTTCAAATTCACTGGCCGTTGTGATTTTCCTGACTATTAGCAGTTGAACAAATGCTCTCTTTAACAAATGGTAGAATTAGGAATTAAGACCAGAGAACAAGAATTAACAGTAGGTCTTGGAAATACAGATGTGATTTTATAGTCCACAGCGCAGGAGAAAGTTCTCTTCCAAAGTGGCTGAAGAAGCTGCCCTTGAAGGAAGGGTGTGGGCGGAAGTTAAGGGAGGAAAAACCAACCTTGAGAAGAAGGTGCTGTTCTGAACATCTTGTGCAACACCCGAGGGTGTAGTTACGGTCCTGAAGTATTGGGTTTCTGCACGGTAAGCTTTTGGTGTTTTATTCTCCTGAAAGAAGAGCACCTGGTTAACAGCAGAATCAATAGCTCAGTAGAAAGAAGTCTCCCCCACACTGTTCCCACTTCCCCAGTTCTCTCACAAATAGCATTCCTGCAGATCAACATGCCTAATTTGGCATCAGCTGTGTGTAAAGATGCACAAAACATATAAGAGATATTGACATCATGGATAAAAAAGTGCCAATGTCTCTCCCATCAGCCATGCCATTTACTCTCACTTCCCCTGGTTCTGACAGTAACTTCCTGTCCCAGGTTTTGAGATCAATAGTTGCTAAATGGTTATTCTTGGCCACTGTGTTCTCTCCGGGTTAAAACTGCATCTACGTGTCACTTTTGGAGGAAGTGGTGGAGGATTTAACCAATGAAGTGAATTTTGTGAGGCGTAGAGTTGATAGTATTCTTTGCCTTTTGTATGTTTGATCTCATTCTGCGTCCCTTGTGGTCTAAGACTATACCAGTTGGTCTCTGTATTAGCTGTCATTGCTACATGACAATCACCCCCAAAACCTAGTGGCTTACAATAGCAGGAAGGTAACTGATTGCATGCTAGAATATATGCATGCCAGGAATTTAGGAGTGGCTCCAGTGGGTGTGTCTGGTGTGGACTTTCTCACGAAGCTGTATCAGATTTGGACTGAAGCTCAGCTATCTGGATGCTTGATCGGGGACAGAATATTCACTCCCAAGGGGCATGCTCCACAGAAGGGGTCACTGACAAAGCTCGTGATAGGTTGTGCGGTTCTCCACCTGTCACGGTTCCTTCCCAGTTCATCGTCTCTCGTCCCACAGCCAACACAGTCAAAATACCACAATCTCTGAGAAAACGGTTGAAAAAGTTGATGTAATGAATTAGGAAGATTCTGCAACCGCGGCACAGGAAATGCCCGAGAAGAAAATCTCTCCAACGTAGCTGCCCCAGGGATGGAGGGAGATAAGCTGTGACTTGAAATGACCACAAGCCATGGCAGCTGTCGTTTTCTGAGTCCCTCCTGCCCGCCAGTCGCTGTGCCACATCCCCGGCTGCTTGTGGTCTCCGCAGTGCGGTGCTGAGCAAGCGCCCTCGACGCTTCCTGACGAGAAGGAACTCGGGCTTTGGGACAGGAAGTGACAAAGCTTGCAGATGTCCAGGGGGCAAAGGTACATTGCGGGGACGGATCCCATGTAACCCCAGAAGCAGTGTTCATGTGGAAATGCATCCGTGCTCCAAAAGGTGAGCTCTCCTATGACGCTCATATCCCCGTGACTCGTAATAATAACTGGTCCTTCCGCCTTCTCCTCAGAGCTTGAAATCTCTCTCCCTCCCTCTCTTGTGGCTGACACTTTTGCCTCCTGCTCCAGCAGACCTGCCGTCTGCTTGATCCAGAGCCCTGCTGTCGATTTCACCTCTCTGACCAGAAGACAAGTATCCCGGTCCAGGTCCTACACTTTACCCCGGCTCCACATCTCACCCGACCCTCTTCCTCAGGGGCTCTCCTCCCTCACCTGTCTCCCGTTTCTGCAGCCTCAGTGTCTCCATCTTCCCTCATTCCCAGCAGTAGCCCCAGATGCCTTACAGCCGTGGTACCAACGTGTTTGGGAGAAGGGACCAGTTTCATGGAAGACAATTATTCCCCGGACGCAAGCCCAGGGATGGTTTCAGGATTTGATTCTCCTAAGATGCATGGGACCTAGAATCCTCACGTACTCAGTTCACGGTAGGGTTTGCACTCTTGTGAGAAACTAATGCCACGGAAGGGCGGACAGGAGGTGGAGCTCGGTCCATAATGTAAGCAACAAGGAGTGGCGGTAAATACAGGTGAACCTTAGCTCTCCAGCCAGCTGCAGACCTCTCGCCTTCTGCAGCGTGGTGACTGTAAGCCATGGGCTTGTACCTAACAAGCCACGGACCTGCACCAGTCAATAACCCAAGGCTTGGGGACCCTTGCTCTAGAATTTCTTAAGCTTTAGAACATAATTACTCAGTGTCACATTATTCTTTTCTCTCTAGCCGATTCCTTGCTTTTCCTTCACAGGTAAACATCCCGAATGCGTGCTGTGAGTTTTCCGTATCGATTTTCCTCTTGTAATTCACTCCCAAGGGTTTACTGTGTGCACCAATCTCTTGAGCACACCCCTGTCAAGCTCCTCAGCTCCAGGCACTGTTCCTGTCCCGGATGATCCACCAGCCTTGGTCTTTGCTTGGGCATTTCTACGTCCTGATCCCTGCAGAGAGAGTCTCTGCTCCAGTAGTCTCAGCTGAAGACATACCAAGAGGGCTGGTGAGGATAGAAGAACTGAAACCAACGGAGTAACAAGAAACAGGAGAACAAGGCCCCTTGTGCTTCACAATGACCCCAAGAATGTACTGATACGGCATCTGCTTTAAAAGAATTTGGAGCTGAGCGTCGTGGCGCACACCTGTAATCCCAGCGCTTGGGAGGCTGAGGCAGGAGGACTGTCATTGTTTGAGGCCAGCCTGGGCTATATAAATGAGTTCAAGCCCAGCCTGAACTATATGGTAAGATCCTGTCTCAAAAAACAAAGCAAAATAAACAAAAAATAATTTGAAGATTGTACTGGGTCCTTTCACATATTCCAGAGCCTGAAGGTTTTGCTCAGCTTCAATCCTCTGTGGGATGCAGAGGTTCAGCCCTCTCCTCATCAAGGGTCTAGAAGGTGGGTATCCAGGCGCCTCTCCTCTAAGTAGTCAAGATAAAGAGAGGGAATATTAA